ACGTGTTACTGATGCACACACATGTATGTGGTGGAAATATTCGGCCCTTTCATTTGCTTTTCACAAAAATAAAACATGTCATTCACTGACTCGGGTGTCTGTTTCTGCAGCTATGAAACATTGAAATATAACATTTTAATCTGCAAGTGCATTCAGCCAATAACAATAATAATAATGTAGAACCAGTTCCAGCTGGTTCCAGAGAACAAAGACCAGCAGCAACTTGACTTCCCAACACCGCTGAGTTGGAAACATTGAGTCAGAAGCTGCAGCTGAGAAACAAACCAGCACCAATGCAGGCTGGTTTTCAAACACTCCAGAGTGTACTGGTAAAAAGGTCGGCACCAGCACGGATACCCTACACTGCTCGGCTCACAGTTGGAACCATTGAGCTTAAACGTGGGAATAACACAAAACCACCTGTTTGCAGAAGTACACGCATCAGCAGGTTTATGCCTTCTCCAACACCACAGCGTGTAATCTAGAACCAGCTCCAGTCTTTTCCACCACGGGCACTAACGCACATTCTTAAAACTGCATTTTTAAAGCCACCACAGAACTTACGAAGGGCGGTCCTCCAAGATGAGAGCCGTGGTGGAAAGAGGTTCAAACTCCAGGTTTTTCCTCCTCCCTGTAAGCAGGGGGCGCTGAGGACACGAGGGCACGCTGGAGTCCTTCATCGGCTCCTGCTGAGGAGACTAAAGAAAGAAACAGATGATCATGTAGTACAGCAGCGCTCTCAGAGGAATTACACCTGAACATCAACTCAACAGGGTGTTTTTGGCAGTTACACAAATTCACAGCCGTCTCACATCATTTTCAGTTTAAAGTTTTATTTTCCTGAGCTGTAAAAGCGCCACACAGAGAACATCATAACAAGCCATTCCACCTTATACACAGAAACATCTGCCTCCAGCTCAGCTTCATTCTTCTCTGAGACCCAAAAACTGCTTTTGCAAAGGTCTGATCATTTCAAGTGTCAGAGGGACAGCTCAGGTGAGCTTTGGAGACAAAGGCAGAGAAGCTGAGAGGGTTTGCACATGTGCAGAAGAGGGAGAGTGGATTTACTGGACAAAGGATGATGGAGCCGCCAAGCAGGAGGAAAGGAGGAAGAGCTCAGAGAAGATGGATGTGGTGAAGCAGGACATGCAGAGGAGGATGCTGGGATAGGGTGAGATGGAGGCACATGGTGGAGATCGCTCCCCATTAATTGATCTTAGAACTGAAAAAGCTTCTTGGATGAGAAGTGGAAGAAACTTAAAGAAGTCCAGTTTCTTTCCACAATTCTCTC